TCTGTATTTCTGATAGGCAGGCCCAGGTTCTAGCTGGCCAAATTTGCTCCTAACTTAGGCTGTGTTTGTTTCCTTTGGCAGTGGGGTACAAGGCAACATTATCTCGTGCCTTCCTTGATCTAAACGTTGGGAATATCACCATTTGATCCAGCAGGATTTGTTGTGCAAACAATTGACAACTGTTCTGCTTCCCTCACTTGGGAATTTTCCTGAGCGAGGCCACGCTACTGATGCTGCAAACCAAGGGCCCTCATATTTCAGATGCTATTTACATTTCAGATTACTCAGACACCAAAATAATTCTGCATTTAATGCCACTGAAAATGTAGACTAAGCAAAAATTATGACAATATATATATATATTTTTTTTTAGCCCAAGCTTCAATTCTACCTCATAGCAAAGTAATGAATTAATATATTGCTTCTATGAGTTCTGGTTATCAGATATTGTGGCAGGATAAGAATTTTTAAAATATTGCTCGCTTACTTTAAAACATTTTCTGGAAAATAAAAATATATAAAATAAACAGCACATTGAATTTAACCAGAGTAATAAATGAAAGTATAAAGGTTTGCTTAGAAACATAAAAAAGAATTTTCAAGCATTTTACCACTTCATTTTTAAGCACATTAAAGCTCCTGAAACAGAATATTTCAGAAAAAAAAAACCCTCAAGCAAACAAGAAATGCATCTTGGGCATCTCCAGCTCCTGCCTGAAGAGCCAACAATGGAAGCCACTGCAGGATTTGTTGCTGGGTCGCTCCCATGGGAAGGATGGGAGGCAGTGGAGGTTTTGGGGCTGGGAGCACCTGTCAGGCTGCAGATAAAGCCAGATGACCAACTCATTTCACAAAGCTCTATGAATAGCCACGGCAGGGCTCTCACTGACTGCTGCTGCCAGCCTGGAGCTGAGGGCTCACCATGCACACAGGGACCTAAAGCACCACTGAAAAGTTCCAATTAGAACTTGGAGATACTCATTTATGTATTTATGTATTTGTGTATGCAGCTAAACTCATTTGCATGTGTACTCATGCACTTTTTAACATTGTAGTCCAAGTGATTTTGACAAATTTTACCTTGATTTAAAAATAGTACCAAGTCTGAACTCCTTTCTAGACGATTCATCAAGGAAATAGAAATTGCTATAATAAAGAACTTGGAATTCAAAAGAGGGAAGGAGTCAGCACTTCTCAATTTCTTAACTGCTGCTTTTTGTTTTATTCCCTCTTCATTTAGGTCCAGATACACAGAGAAAAATTAAAGCATCCTGAAAGCTATTTCCAATGCTCTTCCAAAATTTCATCCCTAATACCAGCTTTGGTTCCTGTGCAGGCCCATTTGAAACTGATTGAGCAGTATTATTCCATCTAATAGTTCCAAAAATAAATACAAAGAAAAGCCAATGAGAGCCTGTGGTTTCCAACGCTCAAGTAACTCTTTAAAAGAATGAGCAGGTCCTTAATGACACAAGAGCATTAAAAAGGAAATAAATGTATCCTGTATCTTTTTATTTTTGAAATCAATGGTAATTCTGATTTCTACTGGGACACAACAAGAACCAACACAGGGACAGCCAAACAAAACTAAACCCTCAGACAACCCAACAAGCCTGGAGGAACAAACAGAATTCCCCACTTTCGCAAAGTTTTGACAGGATTTTTGCAAAGGAAGCTCAGCCACTTTCAAAATTTGTGTCCTTGGCCATGAACAGATGAACTGAACGTGGCCTCTTAAGCCCACAGAGAGACACTGGGACATTCGTGGGGCTCCAGATGGGCACCAGGGGCCTCCCACCTGGCCTGCTGCTTTCCACAGGGAACATCCACAGGGAGCACTGGCTGCTGAGCCACAAACTCATGGTGGACTTACAGACTCTATTCCAGCCACTGACCTTCCACAGAGGAGGAATAACCATGAGGAACAGTAAGGAAAAAAAATAAATCCACTGAGAAAGCGAATTAAATAACCCAGCTGAATCCCAAGGCATTCCATCCTGGAGAGGACTGTGAGTGATGCCAGGATCTCCAGTGCTTTGGAACAAGGAGCAACACTGATCCCTCCACAGCCCAGGAACGAAAGGACTGCAAGAAAAGTTCAATTACTGAAGGTATTGCATCATAAAGATTCTCCTCAAACATCCGCCTCCCTAATCCAAATAGAGACCAACTCATCTGTCCACAAAGGAAGGGAGGTATGGCAGCAAACTCCACGGAAACATTATTAAAGTCAGGCCTAAACAGCATCTTCATGCTCAGCACAGCCATGGCAGGTCCTTGCTAACCTCAAACTATCTGCCCTTAGAGCCCAGGAAGCCACTGACCAAGAATACAGCAAAATAATTGTTAATTCTGTCCCCAAAGATAAAGAACTGGGAAATCCGAACCAAGCAATCAGCACCTGTAAATATCCCAATAAGAGCAGCAAAAAGAGCTTAAGAACCCAAATAAAAGGAAACTGTGTTGCCTTCTAGTTACAGCTGTTGATAACTCACAATCTTTCCTAGCACAGGTTGAAAGATTCGATTCCTTCAGCTCTTGGAAGGTTGTGACAGCAGGCAGAAGGCCCAAATCAGCCTGAGACCCCTTTGTGCAGGAAATGCCACCCAGAATCCCAGTCCCACCAGTGCCTCCTTCAGAGGGCCCTTCCCACCCCAATGCCACAGCTCTCCCTCCAGCACAGACTTGGCTGCAGGACTGGAGGCCTGTGGAAATGAAAGCTTATCAGTAATTTTATCTCTAGGATTTAAAGCAAGAAAAACCCCTGAATTATTCTGCCCAGCTTCAGAATCCTGTTCAATTTCACTGTGTAACCATACTGAACCAAACCACAGGTACTTTAAAGCCCAAAACACAAGGAGATGGTTAAATGCCTGTAATAATTACTGTATCACATCACTGTAGGATGTGGAAGTTGGGGGCAGAGCTGCAGCTCTACATACACGGGGAATGTAATCCTGCAGGCACTGTAGACTTCCATGTACAGAGGAAAGCAGATCAATGGGATCTCAGGCTAAGAAAAGCAGCAGTGTCATGAAATAAAATAATGAAATGATGTCCTTTACTCTTGGACGGGCTTGTGCTGTCCAACTCCTACCCGTAGTAAACTAAAAGGAAAGCCACGTGTTTAAATCATGGGCATTTATTCACAGATCTGCTGATTTTGGGGATTGACGCCATCGAGGTTTTTCCTCCACATGTTTAAACCCAAAGTTATTACAAGCAAAAAGAAAACTAACAGCAAACTATTAGAAAGAACCACAGCCATGGCTGCTGCCTCCAAGTCTCCATCACAACACTGTCCAGTATCAATCCAGCTCTGGTCTTCTCCTGTTCCTTCCACTCCATCAAATTACGGCTCTCGCAAACTCTCCCCAGCCCGACCCCAAAACTGCTGCTTCCCACCACACATGTGGGTACAAATGAGAAATGGGAGACAGCCCAGCATGCCAGGAGAGCTCTTTCTTGTGGGCATCCTTCGGCACGAGGCACAGTGACACACACACTCTCTGCTGACCACCATTTAACTGGGATGTCCCTCTGGAACACACACCCATGGCCTACTCCATGGTTCTGCGCCCAGCACTTAATAAACCAAAAATAATAAGCCCAAAATAAACCAAAGCACTCCGACCGTCTTTTGGAAATTACAGAGGACATAATTAAGCTCCAGAAACAAGCAGACAACAGCAATTTCAATATAAACATCCTACTTGTGCAGGGGACTGTCTCATTTCAACTTGGTGTTAATGCTCCAACTCTTACTTCTGGATCCTTGCAAACATCTAGAAGGCTTCTCCCAACATTTCCTCGAGTCCAGAATTTAGTTTGACATGTAAAGCCATTACATTTTAACCTATTTCAGAGGTCTGAACGCCTAAGTTTCCCTCGAACCAGCAGAAAACATGGTCAGGCCAGCCCACCAGCACACCTGGCCAACAGGGCGAGCGGGGATGGAGACACTTGGCCTTCCCAGCAGAAAGCCATGGAAAAAACACATCCCCACATATATATATTTGAACAAACCATTGACCAAATATAGCCGGGCACCACCGATAACCAGGGGCTGCCACCAAACCACATCCCAGCCCCGCCAACACCGAGCCCAGCTGCTGGGCTGCCTATCCCTGGAAGTTCAGCCCGGCGAAGGGTCTTTGTACAAGTGGTCTTTGTACCTTCACCACCGCGGGGGTTTAATAACTCAAACAATAAGTCAAACAACGGCCTGCAACCTGGGGGGGCAACGCCGGGGGCTCGCCGTTACCCCGGGAAAACAACACTTTCGGGACTCGGCCGGGGCTCGGCACCCACCGCACCACCCCGAACTTTGCCCGGCGCCCCCGCCACCGCCGCCCCCCGCCCCGGAGGGGCCCGCAGGAGCATCCCCGGAGCATCCCCCGACAACAACAAAGCTGGGGCGGGGGGCGCCGGCGAGGGGCCCGAAGTGACAGGCGGTGCCCCCCCGGGGTAAACAGGGGGGCGAACGCGGGGTAAACAAACAGCCCCCCCCGCCCCGCCGCTCCGCCCGCACTCACCTCAGGGCCCCCGGGCGCGGGGAGGAAGGCGGAGACGCACACAAAGGGTAATAAAGGGGGAGGAGGAGGAGGGAGCGGCGCTCCGCGGGGCCGCCCCCGAGGGACGGGGGTGGTGGGGGGGGGTCTCGGTGTGTTTTTGGGGGGGGCGATGTGGAAGAAACTCCCCGGCGGGGCTGCGGGGGGGGCAGCGACTCGGGGCCCCCCGCCCCCGCCTCGGCGCGGCGCTGCTTCGTGTCCCTTCAGCGGCGCGAACAACCGGCCGTCCCGCCGCCGCCCCCCCCCGCGCTCCTCCTCATCGCCGCCGCCGCTGTCGGGAAGGAGGAGGAGGAGGAGGAGGAGAACGGGGTGGGGGGGGAGACGACGACTTCCCACAGCGCCGCGCGCGCCGCTCCCGGAAACGGATCCGGGACAGGGAGGAAGGAAGTGGATGAGGGGTGAGGAAGAGGGGGGAGCAATGGACGGGGAGGAAGTGACGGGAGAGGAGGGAAGGAGAAGGAGAAGGGAAGGGAAGGGAGGAGAAGAACGGGGAGCGCGCGGTGACGTGAGGGGGCGGCGCGCGCGGGGGCCGGCGGGAGCGCGTCCCGCCCTCCGGTGAGGGAGGAGAGGGCGGGAAAGCGGCGTGAGGGCAGCGCCGGCCGGTGAGGGAACGGAGAGGGAGCCGGCGACTGTGTGAGCCTGCCGCCCGCGCCGAGCAGCGGAGGATGCGCCCGCCCGCCCGCCCTTCGTCCGCTCGGGCTCCGGCGTCTCTGAGGGAGCCGCGGATGCAGCCCGAGAGGAGGGTAACGCGGGCTGCGGTTTCTGAGGGGATGGATGGTTGGATGGCTGCCGGGAGGGGGTGAGGTGAGGGCTCAGGGGAGCCTGCGAGCGGCGGTGGCCGCCCTCAGGTGACGGAGAAGAGGCGGGAGACGCCGTGAGGGGAGGCGGGGGCCGGGCGGTGTCCCGGGACACTCCAAGCCCTGTAGGGCTTCCCGAATCATTTCCTCCTGGGCTCTCTCAATGCCCTCCCGAAGCCCGCCCCCAGCCTCTCGTGGAGCCTCCCATTCCCTCGTCAGGGTCGGCACGGACGCCCCCAGCCCCGAAAAATTAACTCCCTCAGACCGCCCGCCTTCCCCGTTGCCGCAGCCCTTCCCCAAATCCCTCCCCAGATGGACACTCTGCCCCCCGCCCCTTCCATTCCTTTCCAGAGCATTCCCAGACCCTCCTAGCCCCCATAAATGCCTCACCCCAAATCCCTCAGGGCCATCCCCAAACCATTCCCAGGACCACTCCGAAGTCCCCCTCAAGACTTGTAATTCCCCTCCCTCAGGCCCTCTTTAATCCCCCTCAGAACCCACTCAAACTTCTCAATCCCATCATGATCTCCCCCAATCCCCAAAAGTTTCCCCTCAAACCAACCCCCTCTGGATCTACCTAAATCTCTGTAGGGACCCCCAATCCCCAAAAGTTTCCCCTCAAACCCCCTCTGGATCTACCCAAATCTCTGTAGGGACCCCCAATCCCCTTAGGGCCCCTTCAAGTCCCCCTCACAGCCAGCTTATCCAGAGAGATGCTGTGCTTATTGCTATAAACTGCACATTATAAACCAGGATGGCCAGTTATTCCTGGAAAAACCTAATTGTTGTGTCTTAATGTGTGCTTGTGGCTTGTTCCAGCTGCAGAAACATAAGGACGTTATTTTGAACTCTCTAAAGCATCCTAAAGCCAGTGCAGTTCAGGAGATGTGTGTAAACATGGGTTTAATGTTAACGAAAATAAATTTAAAATTATTTCAGCATTTTGGCTCTTTTTGATGGACTGCTGCATCTTTATTAATTAAGAACAGATGTTCATTACAGTCCTTAAAAATGACCAACATCTAAGTACAGTTTCTGACTGGGATTGTTTGGAAAGCAATTTAATAAAGCTATTAATAAAATGTTATTTAATAATTTAAAGCTATCTAATAAAATGTTAATTTTCTCCACAAAGATGAAACCTTCTGCAGTGGGCAAACGAAAGTTGAAGGAGAGCAATGCAGAAAGTGCTGAGTGCATTTCCCAGGTCAGTAACATTTTCATTCATTGTTTTCTTTTCAAGTTATGGAACTTTTCCACCCTCTACCATTCATGTCATTGTATTTTTTAACTATTTAGAAAGACTTGTACAGCTAGAGGATGCAATTGTTAGGGCACTAAATGGCTTTTGTG